TATTATTATCAATTATTACTATCGTCATCATCTGTCTCTTATACACATCTAGATAAAGTCCTGCTTTAAGATTCAATGTGTCCCGCTTTTGGACGTTGAGGGGTTGGAATGTTTGACAGCGGTCACCGGTTCTGCGAAATGCCTAGGCAATTAGGTGGTATATGCCAGGTTCTCGAAAATTCTCGTTTGAAATTTAGCGAAAATGGTGTCAGTTATCCATTTTACACACAAAAATAAACGCTTCCCTTTAAACACCAGTCGAAAGAAAATAATACTCAACAAAAAATTCGTATTCAACGAAATGAACCAGTCGAATAAGCCCATTGTTACAAATTTGAGTAGGCTACCTTCATCAGTGAACAGAAATTGTTTTGACAATGTAATCGCTAGAGCTAACAGAATGGTAGGTTTTATTTTTTCTGTTGCTGGTAATTGCTCTCCAGGCGCTATTTCATGTCTATACAAAGCATTAGTCCTACCAATTCTTGAATATGGTTTACTGGCATGGGGTCCAAGAACTATAAGTAACATAGACCGTATCGAAAAAGTTCAAAGAATGGTATCTAGGAGAATTATTAGACCCCACTGTCTCATATGACGAACGTATAATTACACTTGGTTGGTTATCTTTACGTGATATACGATTAATGATTTTAATTTCGTTTATTTTTCGATGTTTATATAAGGTTGCTTCTTGTAACAGTGTTTGCAACAACATTCAAGTCAATCCGCGTCGTACCGAATCACTCACGTTTATTCATCATTTTGCGCGTACTGATGCTTTAAAATATACTTCAATCCATAATTTTCCTGTTGTTTGGTCATCAATCACTTCCCCCTTCAATTAAAGATTATGCTGTTGTTCACCCTCTTAAATTATTTTTATTTAAGTTAAGAAAACACCTTCTTGATAATACATAAGTTTTGTATAAATTGCAACTCCCTCATTTGCATTTTATTCGCATCTATTTTACTGGACCTTTCTATTTGTTGGTCTTTTAATTGCTTTTTTATTGAATTTGTAAATATCTGAATTTTAAACATGTAATCTGTTGTTTTACAGGGGTTGCAGACACTTTCGTGTTATGGTGCATTGTTGCTGATGCAACCCCTGGACCGTTTGATGTCAAATAAGTAAATGAAAATGAAAAATGAAATGATATTATACAGAAACTTTACACTATTAAAATACTTAAACAAAAACAATATTACTGTACTAGCTACAAAAATCATAGGCCTACTTATTATATTTACAGTTTACAGTAGGGCCTACCACCCACTTCCTCAAAACGGCATATCCTTTTATTTACCTACCCATTTCCATACTGTAGTTTACACCCCAGATCATATAGCAATGTAGAAACTTTAAAAAAAAATTAACTAAATGGAAAAAAATGTGATTACAGGAAATGAAAAGAGAGAGGGAAGGGAGAGAGAAAAAAGGCATAGTTTTTGGGTATGGAATTTGTTAATTCATTTCGCTTCCATGCCCTTTTATTGTACTTTTTGCAGAATCTATGAAAAAGATCTTCATATTCTCTGTTGATTGGTAGAGTTGAACATCCCAAAATATATTAAATTTAGTATTCTCATCTTCATTACAGAACTCGTTATACACTTCATAGTTGCCATTCTGGACTAAATCTTTATTTAGATTATAAATTTTGTCAATGCGAATGTTATTTACGGCTGGACAACTAAAAATATAATTGTGGATATCCTCATCAGAATTAAGTTTACATAATTTACATTTCATCTTATTATTATCAGAATTCAATTTTAAAGTTCTACTGTTTAATGGTAAGTATTAGATCTGAGTTTGAATTTTAATGCAGTTTCTTCAATATCAATTTTGTCAATGAGGTAATTTTCTAGTTCAGGTTAAAATTCTAGTGTTGCATACTCTTGGAGAGATTTTGTTTTGTAGAGCTGTTCTCCATGCATCTATCATTATATCAAGTTTTCAGAACATGGACACATACACACACCTATATACAACAAAAGACATGTTAACAAATGTAATTAAGCTTATATAGGCCTACACATCTTAAATCATAGGTTTGCTTTACAATTTTGTTCGCCAATATACCCCTAATTTATTTAGTAAACATGTAATATGTTATCCCAATGATGCATATGGC